GGCGGGTGATGAATGTCAATCACTCCCAACTTGGACAGTAAATGTCGATGAACAGGGCTAGAAAGAGCCTTAGTAAACAGATCCGCAGGTTGTTCATGAGTAGAAACATGAGTAGGAACAATCAACCCTTCTTTTATCTTGGTACGCACAATGTGGCAGTCAATATCAATATGCTTCATATGCTCATGAAATATCGGATTGGAAGCAATATGAATGGTAGATTTATTATCACAATAGAGTGGAATTGGCAGTCATTTAAGAGCTGTGTCAACCAAATAATTTCACAAACAGTGGTGGTCATAGCTCGATATTCTGCTTCAGAAAAGGACCGAGAAACAGTAGCTTGCCTTTTTGATTTCCATGACAACAAGGAACTTCCTAAAAAAATACAGAATCCAGTAATAGATTCAGGAAGCCCAATCCGAATCACAAAAGGCCTGTAGCTGAAGTGAACCATGAGCAGGAAAGAATAAACCCAAACCAAGAAAGTGTTTGACATACCGTACAACCTTTAGAGCAGCCTAAAGATGAGACTCCTTAGGCTTATGCATAAACTGACTGAGAAGATTTACTGCAAAACTAAGGTCAGGTCTAGTCAAACATAAATAAAGCAACTTACCAATGAGCTTTTGGTATATTGATGGATTTGGCAAGACAGGATCCTGTAGACCAGGAAATTGCTCATCATATGCTGCAGTAGTGAATTTGAGATTTGGATCAAGTGGAACCAAAGAAGGTTTTGCAGCAGCCAGTCTTGACTCATCAATTAACTCCAAAGCATATTTCCTTTGACATAAGCTAATCCCCTTGGAAGATCTTGCAACCTCAAATCCTAAAAAATATCTAAGAGCACCCAAATCTTTCAACTTAAAATGGGAATGCTGTAGATCTTTAGTAGCTTGGATAATGAAGAATCACTACTAGTAAGGACTAAATCATCAACATAAATGAGTAAAATGACAATATGACCAGTAACCTTCTTAAAGAAGAAGGAATAATCTGATGGTGATTGTTGAAATCTTCCTTTCATAAAGGCAGTAGTGAGCTTGGTATTCCAAGCTTTACAGGCTTGCTTCAAGCCATAAAAAGACTTGTGTAGCCTACAAACCAAAGAGGTATCATGTTGTTTAGGAAATTCTTGAGGTAGGTGCATGTATATTTCCTCTTGTAGATCTCCTTGAAGAAATGAATTGCCAACATCCATGTGATAAAGTGGCCAATTTTTCATGGAAGCAATAGCCAACACAAGCCTACTAGTAACAATCTTAACCACAGGAGAAAAAGTCTCCTCATAGTCAATCCTAGCTTGTTGTGTAAAGCCTTTGGCAACTCATCTTGCCTTATACATTTCTAGAGTGCCATCTGCTTTATACTTCAATTTATATACCCATTTACAATCGATTGGTACTTTTCCAGGAGGCAGGGGAACTAAGGACCAAGTCTCATTTCTTTCCAAGGCCTGAATTTCCTGTTGCATTACAGCAATCCATTGCGGATCTTTGGATGCTTCGGTGAAGGAAGTAGGTTCTGTAAGAGCTGAAATACTAGATAGTATTTTTGGTAAGTGGGGGACAAGTGTTTATAGGATATATAGTTGTGCATAGGATATGGATTGGGAGCTGTCAAATTGGACTGAGGTAAAGTTAGACAAACAAAATCTGTGGTCCAAATAGGTGGTCTAGTTGTCCTATTGGATCTTCTACATTGAGCAGATGAATCAGTGACATAATCATTATGTGAAGGTAATACATCAGGATGGGATGATGGCAAAAAATCTGTTGGTTCTATGTCTTGCAGGATACTTGCACTGTCAGGATAAGTATTTAAAATAGGATCAGAATTATCAAAATCTTGTGCCATAAAGGAATCCAAGAAAATAATTTTGTTAGAAGGATGCCAAGTGAAAGGAAAGATGTGCTCATGGAAGACTACATCTCTATTAATGCAGATGGATTTAGTGTGTAAATCATATAAGATATAGCCCTTTTTTGTGAGAGAATATCCAAGGAAAACACAAGGTGTGGATCTTGGAGCAAACTTATCATGAAGAATCAAATTGGTAGCACATGCCAAGCAGCCAAAGACCACCCTTATATGATTCAATTTAGGTGCAGTTCCATAGAATTTTTCATATGGTGACAGACCATCTAAGACTTTTGTAGGTAACCTATTAATGATGTACACTGCAGCCTTGACAGCATAACCCCACAAATAATTTTGGATATTAGACTGAAATTTAAAAGCTCTAGCTATGTTTAGTATTTGTCTATGCTTTCTTTCTACCACTCCATTCTGTTGTGGAATGTATACATAGGTACTTTGGTGTATGATGCCTAAACTAGCCAACAACTCTTGACATTGATGATTAAAGAATTCTAACCTATTGTTAGTCCTTATACATTTAGGTGTTTGGTTGAATTGAGTTGGATCATGTGAACAAAGTCTTTTAATGTTTGGAAAACATCTGACTTATGCTGGATCAGAAATAGCCAGGTAATCCTAGAGAAATCATCCACTACAGTAAAGAAAAACCTGGCATTTCCTTGTGTAGGTATCCTATAGGGCCCCCAAACATCTAAATGCAATAACTTAAAAACATGTAGGGAACTTGTATCACTTGATGCAAAGGGCAGCCTAGTTTGTTTAGCTAAGGGGCAAACATCACAATGGAAATCATGTTGTTCAGGTAAAGTATTATATATCCTTTTGAGAACTGAAAGTGGTGCATGTCCTAATCTTTTGTGCCAAAGGACAATATCTTTAATATGCAAGGCAGTAGGTAAAGCTGATGACAAATAGGGGTTCTTTATTAAAGAAGCAGTATGTACATTTGATTGTTTACTGACAATTGTTTGAAGTCCTAAATCAGAAGAATGCTTACAAGCAACTTCCTTTATTCCTAAAACAAAACTATACAATTTTATTTGTGAACTAGGAACAAAATGGTATAACCCTTGGCATTGCTTACCAATCCCTTTCAGTTTGCCACTCCATAGATCCTGAATAACACAAAAATCAGGATAAAATGTAATAGAACATCCACCTGATGAAGTCAATTTAGACACTGACAGTAGATTGTATTTAAAATATGGTAAGAACAAAACTTTATCAAGACACAAGTTTTCCTTCAATTTCATAGAACCAATATGTTTAATAGGGGTTTTTGTGCCATTAGGAAGTCCTACATAGTTTACTATGGGTGATTGGCTAGCAACAGTAAATTCAAGATGCTGAAAATTATGGGTCATGTGATCTGTGGCCCCTGAATCTAATATCCAATCCTCATTATTAAAACTGGAGTATAAAGAGATGGTTTTACCTGCTAAGTTTGTAAATGATGTTGAGATGTTCTCTTTGCCTAGAAATTTTAACAACTGTGCATACTGTTTTGGTGTCAACACATTTCCAAGATTAGCTCCAAATTCTGGGTTCACGGTTTGAGTCTGTGGAATAGATTCTTGGTTAGATTGGGCTTGATTAGCCTTAGCCTTTGTCCCCGATTTTTCTCCGGTGAATTTAAAATCCGTTGGATATACATGTAGCTTACAACAATTTTCCTTCTTGTGTCCTGGAGCATGACAATAATCACACTCAATATAGGGTTTTTTTTCCCTTATATTTTGTGTTTAGAGTTTGATTCTTCTAGTTTCCCTGTGAGTATAACGCAGTAGTGACTTTTGTGCTATGATTGAAACCAGAGAGGATCTTTTGACTCTCATCTTGACTAACTATCGAGTATGCCTGTTTCATAGAGGGTAGAGTAGCCATCAGCAAAATTTGACTTCTTACTAATCTGTATGAGTCATTTAACCCAATCAAGAATTGCAGTAGCTTCTGCTGATTCAAATGTGCTAAATAAGCTTTAGCTGATTCACTGTTTGGTGCTGGCAGACTAACTAATGAGCTTAATTCATCCGATAAGGTTTTGAGTTTGTTGTAATACACTGCAACTGAGTTGGTTCCTTGCACCAAATTCACAATTTCCCTGTGAATTCCAAAAACTCTTGTACCATTAACTTTGTTATACTGTTCCTTCAGATCCTGTCACACTTGATGTACACTACTCGAATACACGATACTATTGAATATATCCTTCGAGACCGTGTTAAAAATCCATGCTAACACTAAGGAGTTACATCGCTCCCATTGTGCATGTAATGATTGATTGAAGTTTGATTTCTCACAAGAACCATCCACAAATCCTAGCTTATTCTTCGCTCTTAAAGACACAATTATAGCTCTACTCCATATTAAAAAAGAGTCATCAAAGTACAATACTTGCACTTTGAATTATCAGTAGTAAAATCTTCATGAATTATCAATGGATCATTCGTACTGTTGTAATGATAGCCATTAAGCTGAAGATGAAGAGATATCATGGACTGAGAGACGTTAATGGACTTTACGGACATCAAGTTACTAATCATCATGGCCGTTTTTCTATAATTTCATGTGCAACTACTTCGCCTCTTTGTTAGGCGTTCTGTAGAGCACTAGACGATGGAGCTATAGAGATTAGCTAATGCTTCAAGGTGTCATTTACAGGAGCTAGTGGTTGGCTTAAAGTTTGTGGGCTTGATGGGTATTATTAGCACTCGCCCATTTGGAGGCAAGTTCAAGCTCGTATTATTTTTATCCCAAACAATTATCAACTCATTTTAAATTAATTTTTTTCTTAAGTTTAGTTTATTTGAAAAAAGAAATTTATATCTTGCTGACTGCCGTTTTCGGGCTAACGCTAACTAGTGATATGGAATTAAGATAACCACTACTGGGTTACCAGAACTAAAAGAGCAAAAATATTTAACATAAATTTTTGAGTTTGAGACACCGTATATGTTAATAAGGGTGAGTGATCACTGAAAGAATTTATCTAACAGTTAGTATTAGGGTTTTAAACGAGGCGTGTACATCATTGATGATTTCATCACCAAGCCTCTTTTAATGAACCCAATCTACGAATCAAGCAAACCAGTCAATTGAGCTTACAAATTATTATTTTATCCATATCACGTCAAAACAAGACTAGAAGTAATCTGCACACCTCCAAGCCAAGTACGTGGCTGATAGTCTCTCCACCGGCATATCTCATTTACAAAATTTCAGAAAAAGAAATCATAAATCAGCACAAATAGCTCCACTTACATGTAACTAGAACAAAAAGTCAATGTATTTCCAATAAAAACTCGCACCAAAATTTCCCGCCAACACAAAACCGATACAGAGATGCTCTGTTTTTCTCTGTTTCACAATACACCTCCTTTAACCAGCCAATACAAGCATCAAGCTTTGCTCTTTCAACCAAAATCCAAGACCCATTTCAGTTCTCTTCATTTTTGTCGAAACCCGTTTTTTTTCTTCAAAAAATATTATGTGTATCGAGCAAAAGTTTCAATTCTTTCGTATTCGAATTGGGCAGTTTCTTCTCCGGTGGATGATGATTTTAAGATGGAATTACGCCGCTTATTGGCGCTTTTACAGGAGGAAATGCGAAGAAGAGTTAGTGACCATCCGGAGCTTCATCAATTGATTGAAGTGGTTATGGATTTGGGTCGCAAACCTTTGGCTAGATTTCCATCTGGAGACTTTGTTTTATCGGATTGTCCAATCACAGTCCAGGACCTTGAACATGCTACATCTCAGGTTAAATTTTGGTTCTTGCTCTTGAGTCTTGAATTTTGGCTGGCAAGTGTTTGATTAAAGTTTGAAGGCTATAACTTGATTGGAATATTGAGTGTTTGGATTGGGATTTTATTTCTTTTGGTTATTGCATGATAAATATGATTGATTGTGTTAAGCGTCTGTCAGTCTGTACTTAGCATTGTAAAACCGAAGATGCCAATGAGAGATTCTTATAAAACAAAGTTATACTGGCATGCAAGAGTAATTGTTAATAGCTTTTTGATAGTAATTTATGGCGAGTAATGCTAGAGTTACAAAGTAAATATCCCAACTTTGTAACCTAACTGACATGGAAGCTTATATCGAATACAAAGTGGGGATTCTTTCTTTTTAAGTGTAGTATAATTCATTTTGTTTGGTGGTTTTAACCATGCTGGCGAAAAATTCTGATAAAATAAACTTCACCCATAAGTGTTAGGAATTTGGAGGTGCATTGTGAGGCTGATAAAGAAAGGAAAGAGGAAGTCTAATTTTTATCATTCAGATGCGACCAGAACGAATCTAAAATGTTAAGGATAAAATGCTCTTTGATTCCCTCATTAGTGCCCATTATATTCAGTAGAGTATTATTTGACTTGTAACTGTTTCATTTTTCTCATGAATATATAATCTATACTGTTGATGAATCATAATAGAGAAATGCACGCTTCTAACTTAACATGCAGGTCGGTGATTTTGCCATTGACAATCGAGCAGGCATCAGCCGAACATTACATCGCATTAGTGCTATCAGGAATCGGAAGGGTGCAATAATTGGTCTAACTTGCCGAGTTGGTCGTGCAGTATCAGGAAGCGCTAATTTACTGCAAGACCTTGTTCAAGATGGAGCTTCTTTGTTGCTAATTGGGCCTCCAGGAGTGGGAAAAACCACAATTATCAGGTTAGTCTCTTCTATTTTTGATTTGCTTGTCATGCATGCATGAGTAACTCTCTCTATTTATTTGTTTTTTTCAGTGCTCTTCTCATTGATTTCAGTTCTCTAATTATTTGAATTTCACCTTTAGATTATCAGGTTAGCACATTTCCTCTCAGTGAAAGCCTCTGAGCTCTTCTGCATTCCTTACTTGAATGAGATATGTCTGGGTTAAATGTTTCTGGTCCAGTGGCTTAGATACTTTACAAACATTTCTTTGGTCAGAGCTGGAAAATTTTTGCCTGGACCCACTCCCCTCCCTTGTGGATGTTTAGAAATTCAGCTCACAATCTCAAGCAAATAGATCTGTTAACATCTAGATATCATAATTTAGTAATTTATTCATGGTTAAAAGTTCTTGAAAGTTCTAAGTTTAGTTGATAATATTCAGTGCTCTGAAATTCAACGCAAGGGTCTAATCTGTTGCAATGTCTCTGCAAAAGTACTGAACATTATGTAAATGTAAAATATAAAATTGAGTGGATTTCAAGCTGGTTGGGAAATGGAATTGTTCAAGTCATATAGTTCAATACTCGTAAAACTTTGAATTTTAAAACCCCAGCATTTATAGATTTGTGAGAACACCTGAAATAAGATATTAACTTATAAGGAGATCACATTGTTAGAAATAAGCATCAAGCTGGTTGCAGGATAGCCTAAAAGTTCAATGTTTGCAGAGAAATAGCTCGGATGCTTGCAAATGATTACAAGAAACGTGTCATGATTGTTGACACCTCCAATGAGATAGGTGGGGATGGCGATATACCTCATGCAGGAATTGGTAATGCTCGTCGGATGCAAGTTCCTAACTCTGACATGCAACATAAGGTATGGACTAGAACTTTATAATATCATCTATCCACTTTGGTCTAGTAATGAAGGTTGATCACTGAAAGCTCAAAGCATGAGTGGTTGAAATTCTTCTATCATAGGGTATTAAAGTAATTTTCTGAAATATCAGAAAAGAACATTATTTTAATATCTTTCAAATAATTATTTTAATAGACTTTTCATTCAAGAGCAATCAAACTTTCTTTCAAAAAACATGTTGAGATAGTGGAACATTTCAAATAATTTTTGGGAAGAATGGACACAAAAAGAAAGGTTTATTGCTCTTCGAATGAGAAGTCTATTGAATGCATTCATAGTTGTGTATAGACTAATTAGACAGTATTTTAATATCTTTTTGTTATTTGAATGAATAGATGGATAAGGCTATGTTATATGTGTTCTCTCCCGTCCCACTCAATAAAGTAAAGTGCTACATGCACGCTAGCATAGTTTCAGGCATGGTTGCATGATCAGTTTCATCCTTACTCTTTTGTTCATTTAATTTTGCACTTTCTCATTCCTATATTTGACTTTATCATTAAGCAAACATTTATCCAGGACTCTGATATTTATAGCTTTGGATCCTTCAGGTACTGATTGAAGCAGTGGAAAATCATATGCCACAAGTCATTGTGATTGATGAAATTGGCACCAAACTTGAAGCAATGGCAGCAAGCACAATTGCACAACGTGGGATTCAACTAGTTGCCACTGCTCATGGAGTAACAATAGAGAATTTGATAATGAACCCTTCATTGGAGATGCTTGTTGGAGGAGTGCAGGTGAGCCATTAATTTTAGCTATATGTAGTTGGTTTATCATTTTTTGTACATGAGTAGGCTTTAAGATTTATTTAGTAGCCTAATCAAGAAGGACTTTGGCACAGGTATCAGTGTTCAGATATTATAAGGTCTTAGCTGCAACAATCTCACAACAAAATAAACAAGTCCATTTTTTGTTGCTAAATTGTATTTGGCTCATGGTTATCAGTTTGGTGGGCATTGTATCATTTTATGCCAGGATGGGACTATATGTGTTCTGTACCATTTAGTTGTTGCCTATGTCTACATTCCAATGGCTAGGGGTACTGTTGCTTTATTTGTCCCTTACAACTTTAGCATCATGAATAAGAATTAAAGAACATAAGCCTCAGCGACCTATGAAGTAAAAAAAATTATGGCCATTTGTGAACTACCGAGTTGTGTGAGAATCCTTTGAGAATTGGGAAATCCCATGGTCAGCTCCAAGACCTTTTCCTCTGAATAAGACAAAATTTTCATTTTCATGGGGATGAAGAAAGGAAAAAATAGAAAAAAAACGAAGGGAAAAAGTTAATAAAGAAATGCCCACTCTAACTAGCAAGAGGTCATTGGTCTTTGATAGACCTCCCATTAATCATGTTTATCAATATAAAGGGCATAAGAGACATTTGAGGCAGTAAATGCAGGGTGTGAGGTGCCTGGTTGTTTGGAGAGTCTGTTACAGTCACGTGAGTGGGGAATCAAAGTTGTTAGTAGAGAATAGGTGGTTAAGAAGATAGTTTAAATAGAGGGGGTCTGTTCTGGAGTATTATCAAAGTTTTAGGCTATTGTCATTGAGGGAGGTCCCCAGCTCCTCGAATTGCTGGGATCTATCAGTTTGGTGTTTTATACATTGTTGGCTACTCTTCTATTTTTCAGTAATATAATCTTGTTGAGACTTCATTGAGGATACTACTTTCTGTTTTGTGGATTGCTTGTGTGTTTGCTGGTTGATAGTGCAGGGAGTCTTAACAGTCTTTAAGTAGGAGAGAAACTGGAAGCTAACTCATTTCCCTATTTCTCATAATTTAAATTGTTTTTTTGTTTTTTTGAGTTTTAGTTAGAATAAAGGGTTTTCATTGTTCTAGTATGACAATGTATATTCGTTTATGTATGATATGGCTCACATATTTCATTGTTTCCACTTCTATATTTTGCAAGCCCTCCTTTGTGGCTCTTTATTGAGATTGTTTACTTTTATTTGTATTAGATAGTTCTAATATCTCTTTTTTGTTTGTTATATCCGAGACGGGATGCAATAGTTTATTGATACTTCTGTTATTACTGTTCTGATAATTTTTTTGTAAGCTAATCCTTCCTGCCTTACTCGAAATCATTTCTGTCACATATTTACAGTAGATATATATATATATATATATATATATATATGTGTGTGTGTGTGTGTGTGTGTGTGTGTGTGTGTGTGTTTTCTTTAGTTTTAATAACTTCTTTGTCACATATCTATTAGGTTTCAGAAAATGACATCCATTCTGGTCTTGCATTAATTTCAGAGTGTAACACTAGGCGATGAAGAAGCAAACCGTAGAGGTGTCCAGAAAACAGTGCTGGAGAGGAGAGGGCCTTCAACATTCAGTAGCGCTGTGGAGATAATTTCTAAGACTGAGTTGCGAGTTCATCGTAGTCTTGAAGCGACAGTGGATGGCATTCTTTCAGGTGTATATTCTCTTATTCAAGAACACGAAAATGATTGCTATTTCATATTTCATGTTTATTACCATTTGATTGTTGGGCAAAATGGTGATAATCCCTTGTTTGGCTTGTTATTGCTCTTCTGCTGGCAAAAAAAGGTCGTATCCCCAATGTGGAGATTTGCAGGATGCACTCTGATGGATCAAAAGACACTGTGTTAAAGGAAACATTCAGTGTCCCTGGATCTGACCAGAAATATGAGATAATAGATGAAGATGATCTAGAGATGACAGAAGAAATAACAGGCCATAATGAGTTCGTGTCTGAGTTTCATCAAAATGTTGGAGAAGATTCTTGGGAAAATGGATATCCACTTCGCCTCTCTGTCTATGGGGTAAGACATCATGATGTGATAGTTTCAAATTGTTAAAAGTTAATCTATTTACATGATCCAAGCCTTATCAACCCCCCATTTTTTCTTTTTATCTAATATTTTACTTCTCATCTACGGCCCAGTCAACTCCTTGTCGGCTCTTTTAGTATTAATGCATAATGAGAAACTTTTCGTCGTATAAACTAACAGAATGAGCAGTTATTGTAGATTCTGGAGGCAAGCGTAATACAAGGAATTAAACAGTTGAAAATGGATGCTGCAGTTGAACTGACTGATAATATCAGTGAAGCAGATGCGCTACTTGCCTTGCAGTCTAAGCTCAAGAAGAATTCCCGTATTCAAGCTGCTGCTAAAAGCCGTGACATACCCATTTATGTAACAAAGGTTTACTGGAAATTCTATCGACTATAGTTTCTTGTCACCAATGTGTCCACTAAATTTCTTTTTTATTTTTTGCAGACAAGCTCATTGGTGCAGATAACTAAGGCCATAAGGGCACTAGTAAATGATCATGCTGATGGATTAAAGGATCATGGATCAGAAGACAAGATCAATCTTTCAGAGAAGATTGATGCCTTAGAGGTAACATGGACTTTTGCATGATTGATTGATAGATCATAGATAAATATAAGAGTGCAAAATGATGTTTTTTTTTTTTTCGAAGAAACTGTATAATTTCTGACATGTTTGGATTATCCAACTTATTTGGTTAGAGCATGATTTGGTTACCGGACATACCTATACTTACCAAAACAACTTTATCCGTCCATAATTACTATTGACTGCCACAATGAGAAAAATAGATTTCAATGGTCGGTTTGACCCTGAAAAAATTAAAAAAGAAAAAACTTAATGCTAGATTTTATTTTATTTTTTAAGAAAAGGTATTGTCTCCGGTCCATCCATAGTCATTGGCTTGACTAAAGAAAATTATATGTCAATTACCGAGGAAAATAAAACTGAGAGGATAAAGAGATATCTATAGTGCTTTTGTATTTCTAGTGCTGATTGATTTTTCTTATAAAATAATGGAACGTAAAATTCATTTTTATTTAGTAAAAAGTAGTCTTTTAGGTGAAAGGCAGTTGTTTTGAAAAATATTTAACTAGAAAATGCCCAAGGAAAAAGAAATAGAAACGTAGAACAAGATTCAAGTTGTCTGCTCAATTAGTTAAAGACGAAAATTCTCATATTGTAATTCAATCTATTTGATGTTTGGCGAATGCATCTTTCTCTATACTGAGTTTGCCTACAATTCAACTTCATTTCATCATACAGGAGGCAAGAATAGCCATCGAGCAGGTCGTAATTCCAAAAGGAGAAGCTGTGGAGCTACTGCCAAGGCCATACTACATTTTATCCCTTCAATTGGACCTCATCCGGAAGTACCAACTACAATCTGAGCGAGTTGGTAAAGATCCAGAAGCACGTCTCTGCATCCTGCCATTTCAGACTAAGCTGGATGAACCCAGAAATGGTGATGAAACAGTTGATCTGGACATCGGCTTTGATGACTTTATCGGCTCAGAAAGCGACTCAAATGGTACTCTCTATACGGTGGACAGATTACCTCTCTTGCCTGACTAGCCTTTACAATGTTGCATATACTGTTAACATTTCATTAAAGTAAATGATTGATTATAGATTCTCTTATCCATCGTTTCAGGTCATTTTCTATTTTAATGGAAGATCATGATCTTATTTGATTAATAAGAGAAAACTAATGAATACATGAACATGTTCATATTTTTCCATTGAAAATCTTGAAGAATTCATTCCTCTTAGGTTATCCATGATGATGTTGAGGTTGAACATTAGTAGGGACGGACCTGTTGAGGGGCGAGTGGGGGCTGGTGACCCCACTGAAAGAAAAAAAAGCATTAATTTTTTTTTGTAAATATATCAAGTTTGACATGGGCAAAGGGGATGGATAAACATAAAATTAATTAAATAAATGAATAATGACAGGCTAATAAAGACAAAAAAAGAAAAAAAAAAGGTTTGATAATTCTAATGTTATTTGTTAATGGAAAAGTGTAATTTGTTTAATAATGAAGCCACTTAATTAAACCAACATTTGGTGTGATTATAATAAGATTATAGACTTAATAGAGCTGTATAGCGGACAAGACAAACCACGTTATCCTCAACGCATTAACATTTAATTAAAGATTAATTACTAATTTAATCAAGTCAAACCAATTATATTAATTAAGGATTGGCCTGGTCAACCTGAGATTTGCGCATGCTATGACATGTCAGCATGTCCACGTTGTCCTGTGGCGACACGTAAACTCACAGATTGGTCAATTAATTGTTTGTGCATTCTCGGTGGACTTTAACTTTCTCTCGCTTCATTGGGCAGCATTATTTCACTCCATTTCTCTTTTAATTAATTAAATAATTTCTTCACACACAAAGTGGACTTCAGCAACAAAAAAATATATTTTTAATTAAACTAATTACTAAATATAAAACAATTATAATGACTAATGCATATCAAATTAAAGACAAGGGACTATTGCAAATAGAAGAAGAATAATAAAGGGGCTGAAATTTATTATCTCTCATATTAGTGCTCTTAAATTCCAAAGGAGAGAAGGATTTATATAATAATTCTACCACCCCCCAAACTAATCAAAACTTGCCATTTAGCCACTAGGTACCACAAATTGTTGCCATCTTTTTCCATGTGTCAAAAGGCGGAAATGGTACGATGAAAGGTGTCAAATGGTGGTAGATCCATATTTCTTTACGCCACTCCACCTTGGATTTGCACCAAATAAAATCCCCCACTTACAGACGATTACAGTTGACTTTACTTAGGAAAAACCTAGTGGGATAAAAACCGTAAGCAAATAAACAAAATTACATGATGAATTGTATAATGGTGTTGGACATGCGGAATACTGCCTCGTTAAAAACCTTGTTAGGAAAACCCAATGGGACAAAATTTGATCAAGGAAAAAGAGTGCAATGCACATCTATCCAGTACAATAAATCTTTTATGAAAACTTCCTCTAATCGATGCTCCTTTAGATCAATGTTCCCCTTCATGATGACAGAATTAATTTAGTAACTTATTGAGCTGCCACATACCGATGATATACACTAACTTTTCAAATGTTGATGTCGGTAAGACTTTAGTGAATAAATAGTGGAGCGTATTTATTCGACATCAATCTCTTGATTTCGTTGGAGTTCGTGAGTGTAAAAGAACTTCGATGAAATATGTTTGGTTCTGTCTCCTTTGATATATCCTCTCCTGACTAGGGCAATACATGCTACATTGTTTTTAGTGATAATTGTAGGAGCATCTGAGGTACGTGGCAATTTTCATGTACTTTCAATATGATGGATGACAGATCTTAACTATACACTTTCTTGGTTGGCTTCATGAAGCGTAAGAATCTTGGAGTTATTAGAGGAAGTGGCAACCAATGTTTGTTTTGTAAAGCGCCATGATATTGCAGTACCATTGTAAGTGAAAACGTATTCTATCTGCAAGTGGCTTTGTGAGGATTAGAAAGGTACCCAGCTTCTATATAGCTAGCTAATTTAGGATGATTAACAAATTTCCTTGGATAAAATAATCCAAAGTCTTTTGTTCCATTGAGGTAACGAAAGACATGTTTGATCCCATTTCAATGTTGGCGAGTTGGTGTAGAGCTAAATCTTGCCAATAGATTCACTGCAAATGCTATGTCTGGTCTCATATATTGTGCCAAATATAATAAAACACTTATTACATTTAGATACAATACTTCAGGACCAAATATCTTTTTGTTGTCTTGTTTAGGATGAAATGGATCATTTTAAGAATCAAGAGACCGAACTACCACTGAGGTACTCAAGGGGTGAGATTTATCCATATTAAATCGTTTAAGGATCTTTTTAGTATAATTTGATTGATGGAGCAAAATTCCATCTGAACGATGCTTGATCTGCAGGTCGAGACAATACTTTGTTTTCCTTATATCATTCATTTCAAATTCTCTTTTTAAGTACTCAGCAGCTTTTGTGAGCTCTTCATGAGTCTCTACTAAGTTCATGTCATCGACATATACTGTCATAATTGCAAATCTTGATTACGACCTTTTTATAAAGACAAACAGGCATACAAGATCATTAATGTATCATTCCTTCATTAGATATTCACTGAGATGATTATACCACATTCGTTCTGATTGTTTCAACCCATATAACGATCTTTGCAATTTTATTGAATACATATTCCTTTTATTTGCTTCTGGCACTTTGAATCCTTCAGGGATTTTCATATAGATATCAGTATCCAATGTACCATACAAATACGCAGTGACAACGTCCATGAGACGCATATCAAGTCCTTTTGAGACTGATAAACTAATCAAGTATCGAAATGTGATTGCATCCATCACTGGTGAATAAGTCTCATTAAAGTTCATTCCAAGTCTCTGTAGGAAACCTTGAGCCACTAGTCTGGCCTTATACCTAGCAATCTCATTTTTCTCATTCCATTTCCTTGTGAATACCCACTCGTATCCTATAGGTTTCACGTTTTCAGCTGTTTGGACCACATGTCAAAATACATTACGTTTTGATAGGGAGGTTAATTCTGCTTGAATTGCCTCTTCCCATTTTGGCCAACCATGTCTCTGTCAACATTCATTAACAAAACGTGGCTCAAACTCATCATTCATAATTTCAGTAGCTACTGCGTATGAGAATATGTTATCGACAATAGTTGTCTCATGATTCCACATTTCTTTACTATGAGCATAGTTTATAGAAATTTCTTCATTTATATGTTCTTGTATTCCTTCAGGGATTTGTTCCTCTTTAGGGGCTTGTGTCCTTTTAGGGACTATTAACTCTTCTAGAGTTAGTTTAGATGATGTGGAATTATTTATTATTCCAATATTGTCAATATTGACACCTATTTGATTATGTGCCTTTTGTTTCCTGGGAAAAATATCCTTGGCTCCAATATGCTTACCATGCTTTTGGCGTGTAACAGATGAATCGATTGATGCTTGCATGGATTGTTCATTGGTAACATCAATCCTTCTAGTGTATTCATAGTAGCAATGAATGATCTCATTGTTTTTACTGTATCTATAAATGCATCAAGCATTTGGTTAGTAATGTTTTGCAAATGTGTTATTCTTTGCACTTCAATTTCGGATTGAGATGTGTGAGGATCTAAATGAGATATAGAATTCACTTTCCAAGAAAGTTCAAGCCTTATTTCAAGAGGCTTTACCTTTCCCCTTAAAGGAGGAAATATTGTCTCATCAAAATGACAATCCGCAAAACGTGCGATAAACATATCACCAGTCAAGGGCTCAAGATATCTTATGATGGATGGTGAGTTATAGCCAACATATATTCTCAAACAACGTTGGGGTCCCATTTTGGTGCGTTGAGGGGGTGCAATTGGAACTTGCACAACACAACCAAAATTTTTTAAATGGGATATATTAGGCTGATGTCCAAATACAACTGTGTTGGAGAGTATTGATGATATGCAGTGAGTTTAAGTGAATTAATGTCGTAGCATGTAAAACAGCATGAGCCCAGGCAGAAGTCGATAATTGTGTACGTAATGGAAAAATTCTTACAATTATTGGATACGCTTTATAAATGATTCTGCCATACCATTCTGGGTATGTACATGTGGTATTGGGTGCTCAACATCAATTCCCATTGTTGTATAATAGTCATCAAATGTCTTTGAGGTAAACTTACCAGCATTGTCCAAACAAATTGCTTTAATTGGGTAATCTGGAAAGTGTGCTCGTAATCTGATAATTTGTGCCTACAATCTAGCAAAGACAACATTACATGTAGATAGTAGATAAACATGTGACTATTATGTCGATGCGTCAATCAATACTATAAAATATTGGAAATGTTCACTTGGTGGATGAATAGGTCTACATATGTCCCCTTGAATTCTTTGTAAAAATGATAGAGATTCTAGACCAACTTTTGTGATGGATGACTTAAATGCCAATGAAAAAACAATACAAGCACTCTCATTAGGTGACAGAATCTTCAAGTTCTTTAATGGTGCCTATGTGAGTTTTCTATGATCCTACGTATCATAGTAGATTTTGGATGACCCAGATGATTGTGCCAAATCTTAAAAAGTTCAGGATCAGTGAATTTCTGGTTCATAACTACATAGACTTCAACATTCTTCAAGAATGTGTAATATAACTCTGATGAGAAAGCAGGGAGTTTCTCCAATACATGCTTCTAGCATGAAATATTAGTAGTGATGCATAAAAATTCTCTATACTTTTCACTTAAAGTTTCAATGTGGTATCCATTGAATTGTATATCTTTGAAACTAAGCAAATTTCTTCAGGATTTGCTAGAATACAAAGCATCATAGATACTTAATTTAGTTCTGCTTGGTAACAAGAGTATTTCTCTTTCGGAGCCCTCAATTGTGTTTGCAAATCTTAATATGGTATTTATTTTAGCCTCAGTAAAGTTCAAACATGAGAAATATTTTCTATCCCGAAGGATGGTGTACGTTGTTGCATTGTCTACTATACAAATTTCTCCACTATTACTAGATACCGATGCCTCAGTTTTGAAGTCTATCCTTAAAAAAAAAATTAAATTAGTAAGGATGTTTACAGAACTTCATCTTCATGATATGGAACTTCAGGTCTATTTTTTGT